GTGCTGGTGCTGCTGCTGCTACTACTACTACTACTACTACTTCTCCTTCTGCCACTAGTGCTGCTGCTGCTACTACTACTACTACTACTACTACTACTACTACTACTACTACTACTACGACGACGACGATGACGACTACTACGACTGACTGCTGCTCCTCCACCTCCTCCTCCTCCTCCTCCTCTGCTGCTGCTGCTCTTGCAACCGCTGCTAGCCCCACTATGGCCGGTGCTTACTGTGGTCGTCATTGCGCCGAGTCTCCTCGTCAATCACGACTCGCTGAACTCGCCCAGCAACCAAGACCCAAGCAGATTCCGCATGCTGCCCTGATTGCACGACTGTCTCCCAGGCCATGATGTCGCAGGTGTGAGCAATCTCACAGACCTTCGCTATTTTGCTCGCAGTGGCAAAAGTGATCCTCATCACGGACCTAACGCACCTTTGAAGCCAGCCCTTCGTTCTTGGTTCAACTAAACTCTCCTCCCGTTACACCGACTCCATACATGCCCACCCTCTCTGGGCTCAGCCGCCAAATACCGTGCCTGAGAGCCTTCTTTCGACTTGACCCCCAGACTCTCACTTCCGAGCCCCCACTGTTTGGCACATGAAGTGCCTTGCGGCGGATGGAGGAGTGGAGACGGTTGACGGAAGGTAGCTTGTCCACTTGGTGCATCACCTGTATGGGATTACAGGGGGTGTTTCGGCTTTAGCTGGACCTGAATCGCTACAAGGCTGGAGAGCTAAATCCTGAACCCACTAACCCCAAGGCCCAAGGCCCCTCCACCTGGCACTGCACCACCTGCATTTTGATGTCTTGTGGGAGCTGGTTCATCAAGTTGGCCTCCTTTGCCTGGATCCGGCGCCGGTTGAACAGGTACTTCCTGAGCGCCAACTTTTGACTTTGATGTGGCAGGTTACTTTGTTGTATCATCACGTCCGTTGAAACATCCGCATCCTTAAACTGTGCATGTAATGCCGTGGCGTTGTCCCTTTACAAACGATTGTTTCCAATCATCTGATAATGAAATCGTATCGAATCTGGCTCAAGCAGTCTACAGCTGGCAAGCTTACATCTTGCACTCGACCACGCAAGACATGCACAAAGTTGCTTCAGTTCGGGATCCCGTGATGCGAAGGGCAGTTCACAGCCTCACCAACGAAGGAGCTGTGCTTTTGACCCTTTTGCATCTTGGACGGCTTCATAGCTCCAATGAAGGTGTGTTAACAGCATTCCACTGCTTGGTTTCCTGCTTCAGCTCTTGACAGCCCCCTTCCGCAGGACCCTCGCAAACACCGATAACCGAGAACCGAGAGGCAAGTAGGTCTTGACCCTCTCCTGCACCTGAGGAGAGTTTCTGCCGGCTTCAACCCTGAATGTAATACTACACCCAATTATGTACTTATGTTGGGTGTCATCACTAGTTCACCAAGTCCCACATTCCGCACATCTACCTTTACAAACGGGACAACCTTCAGTCTTGAATCCACTTCAGACCCGTCAACCCGCAAACCCGGAATGAAGGCAGGGAGCCTGCTCATTCACCTTGGAGTTCCTCAAGTGGAGGCGGACAGCCGCGAACTCTTCATGGAAAGCCCTTCGGCGCTCGGAGATCTTGAAGAACGCCTGGGCTTTCAGAAGTCTCGGGGGGGGGGCAGGACTCTCTGGGCGAGGCGTTTCTCTGGGGACCTAAGCACTTTTGTTGTTAACCTCTAAACCGGCCTAAACCGCACCAGGCCCCCTCCTGCGTGATCATGGAGATGCAGATAGCAAAAGCCGACAGAGCAAAGAACATGAAGATCAGCACGAAGACCTTAGTTCAAAGCACCGACAATCTCTGACCCAATTTGGTCACCTACGACATGCAAGGCGAAAGCCGGAGAATACGGGCGTCCCGCGCAAGATGCTGCTACTGCACACCCGACTACTTGCCGTTCCGGAGGCGCGGGCGACCCTTCGACGAGCGCACGAAAGAATAAAAAGCCATGGCCAAGGGACCCTCTCCGGCAGATTCACGGGCGTCACCTCTGCCGGCATCGTTCGCATCACGCCCAACCTCGCCAATCTGGGGTAGCAGCGGGCATCCCAAAAGGAGTCAGAGTTTAGGATTTTGGGTCTGGGGAGCTGAAGCATGAAGGAGGAGTTTCTGCTTTCATAGACTGGAAGTATGCACATGATTCATATGATTTCTCTAAACATCCAAGCAACGTCCAGTAGAAGCAGAAGATATAAGTCTCCGACATGCTGCGATCCAGCCATCGCCAAGGCTCTGAGTCCACATCATGCTTTCTCCACACGGTTGTCCAATGGGGCCCGGCAGTGTACCTGGGTACGCGCTCCTGTCTGTCTTCCACATAATAGACGACGCCAAGAGAAGGATGGTACTCTTGGAACCCCCCCCCCCCATTTTACGGTTCATCAGGAGGAGGAGCTGGCACAGTCCGAGGCACGAAGCTTGCCCCTCGTCGGACATCAGCTCGGTGAAAAGGTTCGTGGGTAAACCAACGAGCCAGAACCTAAGACGCAAGAACCAACAGGTGGAGAGGCTTCAAGAGATGAAGAGAAAGCAAGCCTTCATTCAACAAGGGTTAAAATTTCCCCAACCCCTGATAGACAGACAGTCTCAGTACAGAAACCTGCAAAACACCTGCAAACAAGACGGACCTGGGTTCTTTGAGCTACATGGTTGACATCAACCAAAATAACCGAAAGGAAACTTGCCAATCCTCAGGCAAGTTTCAGGCAGGCACTCCAATGGCACATTGCCACCACAACGCCCAGCACCCGAAGAAGAGAGATACACTGAATCAAGAAGATCGACCCGATCTTTGCTTCAATCCTGTCCTGGGTTGGATTCAAGACCTTCAACACCTTTGTGCATGTCATGGGCAGCAGGTATCGTATAAATTAAACAAACAACCCCGTACTCGATCCTAAATTTCGTCCCAGCTGCCCAAATCACAGCCAACTTGGCCAAGCGAAGCATCCGCATCAGGCGCAGTAGCCGGATAAACTTAACCATTTTCGTTAATCGTGTCACGGAGGACGAGGACTCGTTTGTAAACATGGCCTCAGAAATCTGTGCCCACGGGACGGTGCTCCCGAAATCAATTGCGAACCAGCCTCGGAGGTATAGCTTTGCGATTTGGCATCTGTTTGTCTCGAGTGTTCCCGGAGGCTGCTGCGGAGCAACACGCCGTGTTGAACGTGGTGACGATGTCAATGGCAAAAACCAAAGTGGTAATCCACAGCCATGCTGCATCAAAATCGTCGGTTCCGGAACTCGCATTTTCCTTGAAAGTAAGCTGGAAAGGCAGGATCATAGCATCCATCAGCACCAAGAACATTACGAAAAAGTCCCAAGAGAGCTTGCCGACCCAGTCTGGGTTCACCAACCCATCCACAAATATCTGCACCTCTGGCTTCTTAGACGATTCATCCAGAGACCTGCGAATGTTTCGGAGGTTCTCGGACGAAGAGCCGTCAACCAGATCGGACACCTGGAGACCTACCTTCTCTTCACTGATGACGGCCATCATGGGCATGCTGCTCGTCTGCACGAATGCCATATTTCCTTTGGGCAAAGCTGGCAAAGCCAGCGTGTCCGATGATTCGGGCTCGCTGAGCTGGGTCTTACTCGGGATCACTCTCGGGATCGGCACACCGAAGCATGGACTTAGGTTGCACGATTCAACCTCATCTTTGCATAGACCGCTCTGGCTGCTCTCCGCTATGCGGTGGAGTAAACCGATCTGGAGCTCAATGATGTGGGAAAATTCCTGCACCCATGCGGACATGTGATGCGTGGCTCCGCGCTCACTTGGAATCGGGAAGTCGATGTCGCCTTCCCCATCCATGTGTTCGCCCGCCCTTTGAGGTGAAGCTGGACACACAGGCTCGAGCCAGAAACAGGTCCACCCGGGCATAATTGCCTCGTGGTCAAGCTCTAAGCAAATTTCACCACAAGTTAGCAGTAAGCGAGATACACCTGCAGTTTGTTGCTCGACATTGTTTACTCGCAAGTCGAGTCTTCGTCCCGATCTAGTCTACGGGTAGGAGTTGCAATTCCAAGCAGGTCTTCATTCACGCAGCACGAGCCATGCTTGTCTCTACGCGCCTCCACGCCATCAATTCCAACAGTCTTCAACATCCAAGTTAATGCTCTGAGCTGCTGATCCCTAAAGCCATTTCTCTCTATTGAATTATTGACGAAGGTATCGCATGATGCAGAATGACGCAGAAGCTTACGGCCAGGAAGCATCCGAAGAGATGCAATGCTCATCGGCTCCTGCACGTTGGATGCAACTCTTTCAGTTTTGTCGAGTTCGGGTTGTAGGACTCAGAAGCATCTCGCATGTGTGCCATTGTAGCTATGCCTGCACGGACCAGGCTCACCATGACAGCATTGTCTACCCACTTGTCAACCTGTTGTGCTGGCAGTACATATACTATACCATACCAAGTCTTTTCAAGCTTGTTTTTCACTTTCACACACCCCTATCCAACCCTTTCCACTCGCCACTTTTCGGTGGCTCCCAACCACTTCGCGCCTTTCGTTCTTCGCAATGACATGAAAAACAAGTGCGAAGGCTTGGGGGCCCAAGTGCAATGGGAAATGGCTCGGAAACCACACGAAAGCGACAGTGACAACATTGGAGCCCAAATCAGGCCTGGCAAGCCACGAGAATGGACACAGCAACTGACAGACCCTCTAAACTTGGAAAATGCAAACGGTTGTTGGTCTATTGTGGCAGCATCTACCCACACCAGGTACGTACACATTTTTGGGGTATGCTCGTGTTTGAATACATAACAAGCCCAGCAAGATCTAATCTGCATGGCACACTTGAGCCGAAGAACTCACTAGCTAAGCCAAGAAACGCTATTTTGCAGTAAACCTATCTAGGCTTTGTTGCCCATCCCCCCTGGCCAAAATCGAAGCCCTGACCTGGATAGCCACCGTGGTTGGGCCGACCCCCGGCCGCTAGCATGATGTAGTTGGCAGTGACCGTCTCAACGCCTCCCTGGCCTTGTTGTGCAGGAGACATGGCTTCTTAAGGTGCCTTTTTTGTTGAAGGTATGGGTGGTTCGGTGCAGGGAGGGCCCACACTCTGCAGGTTTTGTAGCCCTGGCAGCTTGTGGCGCTGCTTCAATGACCAGGAGCAACTACCACGCATCCTGCAGGGTTTGGGTTTGGGAGCTGCTTGGTGAGGCAGTTTTTGTGCTTGTTGCTTGTGGGCTTAAGTCTGAACCGCTGATTTGGTGAGCACTGGCCGTAAGTCAAGGACCATCGTCCAGCTGAATAGTATGACGGTCCTGCCAAGCGCGGGAGACCACCGAGCTCGAAAAAATGACCCGGTCGTCCGAATCCACAGCGCCATCTGTCGAGCGTGGTGGCAAAAACCGTCCTCACCCTACAGTAACACTCCGCGAAGTCCTGAAGCCCTAAAATGAAGCTTCCGGTCTTTCCCGCGCTCCAACAGCGTCCCATCAACTCCTTCAAGGTGGCATACTTGTTGTAGTACTTGATGCCATTGGCTTCGAAGCCATCCAGCATACCCTGCAAAGAGCGTCCGGCGGAGCCCGAGATCAAAATATGCTGTCATTTTTTCTTGTTTTGCGAGGGAACTCTGCGCACTTTGTTTTGTTCACAGACTGCTGACAGCAGGGTTCGGGGATTCTCTCAGTAGCATGGGCTTGGCTCTAATCTGGAATCGTTGAGGTTGAGCTAGGAATGGTGGATTTTGAGAACTTCCTGGCGCCGCTTGCAGTCCGAACTCTTCTTGCGATAGATGTGCCAAGCGTGGGTGTGGCGACGGCATCTTCTACAGCTAGCATTACACCACTTACGAAGTCCAGAGGAACTCGCAAGAACGCATGCATCATGTCGGCAAGGGGCCTGGTTCAGCGACTCTTTGATGTAGCCTCCCGAGACCAGAAGCCCAGCAAACGCACATCAGCTTCAGAACCTCTTGCTGCCGTAGACGAAAGATCTTGAAACAGATTTCGAGCGACAGCCCTTCGGCCAGAAGGCGTCCTACAACACCCCACCTTGGATTCCTTTGCACATCTCCTGCCAATCGTGGGTGACGTCAACCACACCTTCAGGGCTCCAGCAATGGCAAGGGTACGTCGGACAGTTGCTGGGGCGAACATGCCTGCGTGTGAGGGCGAACTACGCTGAACTGCTTTTGGTGCGAGTCGCAAAACCTTGCTCTCAAGGGCACGCCATGGGAAAGCTGTCAGTGTCGAACCTCCATCAGACTTCTGCTTAAACCCATAGCTGGCCAGGTCGTGGATGTCCTGGCTGGAATGGTCAGACTGGCAAGTAGGGTCTGCGAATGAACCCTGCAGGCTGCTGCCACGGCATGTAATTTACAGGCAAACAAACAATATAAACTTGTCTATCCACCTGGCGAGTGAGTGGGCGGGTGTACTGGAGAGCCTGTTTCTGCTGCCACTTCAGTCTATTTTCACTCGCTGGGCTTGTGTGGCATAGAAGCCGCCTGTGATCTGGTGGCATGTCTGCCAAGTGCAACTTGGAAAATCACAGGATGCTTTGCTTTGCCGCTCGAACGCCCATTGATGGGGATACAGCCGACTGCTGCCGAAACCAAGAATTGACGAAGCTGGCTAGACGATGCTCATGATGCTTGGTCCTTGCGTGCGCTGGCTGAAGCACTGCGCGGCTGATGCTCATGATGCTTGGT